TTACATATGTCAGTTAAGTCCTCTACCATTGAGCTGTATTCCAAGAACCTTGAGATTTTCTTTCTTCAGTAATTTTATAAATGAAAGCAATGTGTCATATGCATGCCTATCTACCCACATCACTTCCAAGACCACCCACCACCATCACTTTATTTTACATTGTTTCTAGTTGCTGTTCTCTTTCTCCTCTTCCTCTTCTTTCTCTCCCTCCCCTTCTTTAATAATCCACTGAGATGAATTAGATTTTTCTGGTTTTCTTTGTACTTTTTTTTTTTCTCAAAACAGAGTTTCTCTGTGTGTCGCTGTCTGTCATGGAACTCTCTCTGTAGACCAGGCTGATCAGGAACACAGAGGTCCACCTGTTTCTGCCTTCAGACTGCTGGATTAAAAGTGTGCACCACCACCGCCTAACAGTCATTATTTTGTACATTTTATGTGGAGAAAGACCACAACTAAAATTTCCAGTTTTTCCAGGAGCTTGCTGTATAGGTCAGGCAAGTCTTAACTTGTGATCCCTGGCCTCAGATCTCTGAGCAACTAAGATTTCAAGCCCTATGTCATCTAGGCTGTCTTTTTTTTTTTTTTAAACTTTTTATGGTGCTCAGGGCTTTGCTAATGCAGGGCAAGCTGTTTACCACTGCTATATCCCTAGTCTTACAACTTCTTTAAATGTTTAACACGTGTCTTAAGACATAGAATTTTGCTCTAGATTGTAAAGCCAACAATAGAATACATGAGATCACATAAAATCATTTGTAATAATTTCCATACAGCTTATTAAAATCCAAACAAAGGATGTGTGCCCCGTATAATCCAATAGTTCAAACTGTAATCCACCTACTGAGGAAGCCAAAGCAGCAAGATTATGTGTTCAGGGCCCTCCTGGGCTACATAGAAACTTTCTCAAAGAAAAGAGGTGATAAACAAAGACAACAGTTATGCATAGTCTGGTAAGTGGATAAAATGTGTTGTGTGCACACTTGGATGGCATTCTACAATAAAAGGAAACAAAAACATTATGTGAACTGACCTAACCAGTCACAAAATGTTTTATTTATATTGGATTAGAGACAAATCCTAATATATTAAGATAAGGTAATGTCATGTTTACTCTGAAGCAGGGTTAAAAGTAGTTAATGGCACCCAAAGGACCTGAGGGAATACCTATGGGAAGCAAGGGGGAATCTGATATGATGGCGGGTACATGCCTTGAGATTTACTCAGACTTACTAAACCAGATACCTAAAAGAGATTAATTCAATCTCATCTAAACAATCCACAGTAGTCTGAGGGTTCATGGGTGGATCCATTGCCCACCATGCACAAGTCCTAAGATCAATCCCTAGCACCATAGAACCAATCCACACTCAAGCTATCAAAAATGAGAAACTTGTTAAAGTCTCAAACATAACTGACACCCAGTTCAGTGTGTCTATACAGAGCTGATGAGCACAGGCATGTTGGCAGTAGGAACTTCAGTCAGTGATGTACATATAAAATGGAAACATCCTAAGTGGTCAGTCTCACTGACAGGAAGGTCTTCCCTGCCCCCCACTTCAAGTCAGCAGGGACTTAATTCTATCCTTGAATGGTTTTGTTTACGCATTCCACCAGGAGAAGGCACCAGAAGTAATCCTTGAGACTGATTTCCCAGAGAACTGTTTCTCACCACACAGCAAAGCTGTGGGCATCTCAACCCCGAATTTCACAATCTATACGAATGTACACTTGTTACTGTTGTTGTAAGTTACTAAAGTTATGAGTTTTATTTTGCTTCAGAGATGTGGGTTTTGTTATCATGCCCCAGAGTTATGTATGCTTTTATCTTGGCCTTCAACTATTTGAGGCCACTGATGCTATGAGTGCAGTTCATAGTTTATGATCTTTTGGGAACATTATTTTGAAGGCAATAGGGTTTAGAGAAATCAGGTTTCCTGTTGTCAGTTATAAATATGAGAAAACATGAACTTGCAAAGAAAAGATACAGGATTCTGATGTAGTCAATCTTCTGTAGTCTACAGTCCCTGAAGCACCCACTTCATTTGAAGAGCATCTTGGGCTTGGAGAAGAGGAGAGTGAGGATGGGAGAAGACAATGGAAGAAAGGAAGAAAGGAAAGAGTGAAGGACAATCAAAAGGAAAAAGAAGGAAGGAAGGAGAAAGGAATGGAAAAAAGAAGGAAGGAAGGAAGAAAGAAAAAAAAGTAAGGATCGAAGAAAGGAAGGAAGAAGGAGCCTAGTTTCAATGAAGTGTTAAAGACGGTCTGGGTACTTAGGGTTCACATATCTACAACGTTATGGAAACTTTTATTAAAACCAATAAAAATTTGCCCAGAAGAATAAGATGTAACACATGAAGGGTGCCGCATACATGTCTGAAAGAGAAAACATTTGGATTAGAAATGATTCTCTGAGTGTTGGAACAAAAAAATAGACCTTAAACCTCAGAATGACCCCTTCTGCCCTCATTCCCACACCCAGTCCTGATACCGAACACTGCAGCATGGTTTCCCTGAGCCCCGTTTATCTCCTGGATCTTCTGGGGCAGAGTCTTGGTCCAGAACTGCAGCCTACTGGCCTTCAGGGCTTGGGCCACAGTAGGCTGGGTGTTCAGCTGCAGGTACTGTTCATTTTGGTCCAACCCAGGCCAGTGGGGTAGACCCTCACTGTTGGGGTTCCTGTGGATGTGTCAGCCAGCAAAGAATAGTAAGGTTACAGTCATCGAAAGCCCAATCCTACGTTTTGGGTGAGGGCAGTGGAACGATTAGGACACTGGTTAAGGGGTCTGTTGGGGTAGGTGTCCTGATATGTGCATACAAGTGTCAATCACGAGTTAATGCTTCATATGGGGGAAACTATCTGACCTATTTTATGTCACCTCTAGGAGGCAATATCTAAGGAATAGTACCATAGCATTATAGCCCCACCAGCTGGATCACAGTGAGAGGACCACTTGACACCTACAAAGAATCTGTATAAATGTGTTATTGTGTAGAAAAGACACTATATTATGTGATGGAAGATTCATGCATGCTAGAAAGCCACCATTCAAAGGAAGCCCTATATAGGGACCCACATGTGTCAGGTTGAGGGGAGTGCTCTCACCGCTGTCGTGCAAAGTTGGCCCAGTAACTCATCATCCTCCTGCTCAGCAGCTTCTCCTCCTCAGTGAAGTTAGCTGGAGTCATGAGAAAGACAAAGTGTATGCCACCTCATGCGACTGTCAAGTCATTCTTCACATGCGTCATCTCAGCTGTTATCTGACCCCAAACTATTATCTTTTCTGCCATTCTTCTTCATTATTCAGTATTCAAGATCCCCAATTCAATTCCTGCCCTGATGTGATGTCAGCTCCTCCATCATAGGCTAGACTGGAAAGGGTGTAGATTCTAATCTAAGCATTGTTTTTGAAGTCATGATGTGGTACACATGTGAGTGTTTTCACTCTCTCATAACCTAGGTTTTCTGGAAAGGACTGAAAGCTCAAGCATCCCTACAGGAAGTCATCCAAGACCGCATTCAGTTCAAATAAAGAAATAAAGACTCACGTTTCATGCCCCATGAGTATCCAAAGACAAAAGGAACCTCGTCTCCATGGTCAGCCTTCACGTGGGGTGGCTTGGGCTCCTCTATGTAGCTGGGTCGATGTTGGAATTCATAGAAGTAGACAGGGGCATGGGAACCTGGGGATGGGGACAAATAATGACTTAGTTGCCTCTCACCTGAAGTTTTTCTCATAAATATTTGGACAACAAGTTGCATCAATAAAAGTTACTCAGAATTAAAGAAGTTAAATGGGAGAGGATGATCAAGGCTGGAGCAGCAGCAGTGGAAAAGTCTTTGGCTAATCACTGCTCATGGCCTTCCCAGCTGAGTGGTTTTGTTAGGTCAATAGAGTATCAGCAAAAAATGTTCTCCTGTGTACTCAGATTTCACTCTCTTAAACTAGACATGAGGAGACCTGGACACCACTGCACTCCACAGTGATCACCCATGACTCCCGTCTCTGAGATGGGGCCATAAGTCTTGTCACAGATATACTCACGTTGAAAGTGTGCTACTTGGAGAGCAGGCATCACAAACAGGTAGTCTGCTGTCATCTCTTTGAACTGTATTTGGAGAGTCTCTGGGTCCTGAGTGTCCCCCATGTACTCTTCCATTAGCAGGTCACCACACTCAGGAGGCAGCTTCTACACCAGGAGATAAGGAACAATGAGGTTAGGCATAGTGTAAATTTAGTAGGCAGCTACATTTGCTATCTGGGAGAATGTGGCCTGGGATGACATAGGGTTTAGGTCTGAGGACAACACACAGAATCACAATATGTACTGATTGTACTAATAGAGATGCTGTCTGAGAAGGAGATATGAGGGACCACTCTATTTGGAGAGGACTAAATATATCTCACCATTTGTACTGCTGCATTCTTCAGAAGAGCCTGCAGGTTCTGTCTGGTTATTTTCTCTATTGTCTGAAGATAGCCCATGGCCTGGGATGCAGAAGACAATGGTAAGTTAGGCTTCTGATGAACTTGGATTAAAGATGCACTGAGTTTCTATGGCTTAGCATTAATATGCTCACCAGGCTCCCAGGGATTGAAACTGTGCCTCACCTTAGGAAGGTTATAACCATACTCATCATTGTTGACACCAATGATGCTGGGGACAGGGTGAAAATCCTCAGATGCCAACAACTCTTTGGGATGCCTGGGTAGGAACTTCCCATCCACCACAGCAGGGATCACCTTGAAGACCTGAGTAGCATTAGAAGTCAAAGCTGATGGTTAGTGAAATAAATACCCTGATATTGACTGAGTCAGCTCTACTTTTTTCTCATTTCTCACTAGTTTCAGGGTGATCTGCTCACCCTGGAGGAGAATCTACACTTAGATTAGCCTATCTTGATATTTATTTTGCACACAGAACTGAAAGTACACAAAAGCATGAAGATGAGATATTTGATTCAGAATCTCACATCATGTAGTCCAGGTTGTCCCAGACACACAAGTCTCCCAACCTTGGTAATAGCCAGCATCTCCTCTTCACTCTTGCCTCTCAGACAGCGCACCAGAGTCTCTGAGTCCATGCCCTCACATGCAGAGAGGTTGGCCACCGTCTGCAAAGGGAATGAGGCAAGACAAAGAGTTCTCAATCCAAGTTGATGCTGTTGTGCCTAATTCTGACACTATAGTGTGGATTGGAATAAATACATATTGTTCCCATTGTACAATTGCTCAAATTGACAGCCAGCAGGCAGGGCCTTTTCTACCTGCATACCTGTTCTTTTTGTTTAGAGTAGCTTTGATTTCTCCACCTAGTTTTCTGAGTTTCATGTATTGGTGGAAGTGTAATTGTCTAAAGGTTTGTACATGAAGTTTGGAAAACAAAGTCTCAGCCTTTACTGTCCCCGTTATTTGACCGGGTGACTTCTTGTTTTGTTAGTGCCTACACTAATGAGCTGGTTTATGAACATCCTACGATTCTCATGTCTCTGCTTCCCACCTGATGAGAGTAACTTGTGAAGTACAGATACATGTTACTATTTCCAGCCTTTTGTGTGTTATTGGGATTTGAACTTATGGCCTCAGGCTTGCACCCCAAGCCCTATTTAAAACTAGTGAACCAGCTCCCAAGCACATGCATGCTTATGCTTGCCAATGATAGAAACTGCAAGGACCTAGTTCTTAGACAGGGAGAATACTTATTCAGTATGAAGTAGAAGTGTGTAGATGCTACCCTCCGTGTTTCGCAGAAATTATTGCAAACTGGTACAACCACTCTGGAAATCAATCTGGAGTTTCCTCAGAAAATTGGAAAAAGATCTACCTGAAGACCCAACTAAGCTACTCTTGGGCATATACCCAAAAGATGCCCCATCATGCCAGAGGGGTACATGCTCCACTATGTTCATAGCAGCCTTATCTGTGATAACCAGAAGCTAGAAATAACTCAGATGTTCGACAATAGAAGAAGAGACACAGAAAATGTGGTTTGTTTACACAATGGAATGCTATTCAACTATTAAGAACAAGGACATTATGAGTTTTGCAGGCAATTGGATGGAACTCGAAAATATCATGCTGAGTGAGATATCTCAGACCCAAAAGGACATGCATGGTATGTGCTCATTAATAAGTGGATATTAGTCAAAAAAAGGCC